AATTCGAGGGGAGATCGGCTGTGGAAATTTCTCCCATGTCAAGTTAGGAATCCATGCCCTCACCAAAGGTGAGAAAGTACAAGACATGAGTTTTATGCCGCTACTAAAAGATCTGCACTTGTGTACAGGAAAGAATCTAGAGCGGCAATCATACTGAGTATAATCAAGGCTCAGTGATGGAAGGTATACAGTTTGACTTAATAGCCATTGCTAAAGCTTGGAACACATCCATAATTAAGGAAACCTTACGTAACCTCCCATTTGCTCTGGCTTTTTATTAGATTTAAGTGGTGATTTGGCTGATGAGTGGTTTCCATCAGTAGGCTGCTACACTAATAAGTGTGTCCTTTTGTAGCAATTTAGTAACAAGGTGATGTGTGCCTGGCCAGGGGACTGATTCAGCCACGAGACAGACTGCCTGCTGCCCTTGAACAGATGGATTGATTAGAGATCTCTTGTTTCCTTAGCGACGGCTAAAATTGATGCATGCCTCATCAAAGGCCAAAGAGAGGAAGGAAAATGAGTGTGTTGCTCTGTTTTTGATTTCTATCTTTTTAGGGTTATATGTAGTGTACTATGTGCCTGTGTGTGTGCCATGCTTTGTGTGCATGTGGATATAAGTGGTATCATTTAGTCTTCCAAAAACAATATGAGCTGCGATGCATTTTGAATGCTCCTTTTGAAAGCTATGTCACAGCTGAAAGGGAGACTAATACCAGTCTGAATAATGCATATTGATGCACAATTAGATATCTCAACACCATTTTGCCACTTAAAACCTTTTCTGTATTTAGTTACCTGAGCTCTATTTAACTTCTCTTTATACATTATTTAACAGAATACAGTGAAGACATCAGTTGTTTGAATTTGATATATGTTACATATTTTGATCTTTATTGGCTGTAAAATGTTATCTCTGTGTCTGTAACTGTAAAATATCAATCTTGAAATGTGCGCTATATATTCCTCCCCTCACATTTTAAAGGTGATAAGTCAAGTTGTGTTTCAGCACAATGTAGCTAACACAGCCTTCAGTGTTGCCGTCATATTTAATCTTCACTCTGACCTGACCCTTTATACTTTGTGCTCAGACCTGAAGTCAGACCAGCTGTATTTCTTTAATTGCAAAATCAAATTTACTTTTAACGAAACAAAGAATGTGAAATTACATCATCAAGAAAATTGGTTTCTAAGTACAGCTAATCCTCCATCAAATGATCTAGAGAGCATCGGGCTTGGTTTCTTGACGGGCAATTCTGTGTTTGCTTGTCACGGGCTCACATTTTCTATCCTCTATCTCTTTACTTAACATTTGAATGTATGATTTCACAGAAATCGCGGATCATTTTAGCAATGACAGACACGTGGGGGAAATGATATCTTGTTTTTTACAAAATCTTTCAAATATTTAATGTTCAGTTTAAATGAAATGCAACCTTTAAGTATTTCCCTGCATGCTTCTTAATTATCTGAAAGCACTGGGCTAGCATAAATGGTCCTTTATTCAGATGGATTTCCTTAAAGATTCAGAGACATCTTTTATGCCTATTGTGGATGTTTTTCTCTTCATCAGCTCATCTTTATATGCTCACACTTGGTCTAATTATTACAATATAAAAAATGACACCCAGTAGTATGTATCATTTAAATGGGATGATCTTTCCTTTGATCTCTCCCAGTCCGATTACAATCTTCTTATTTTTCTTTTTTGGGGATCCTGCCATTTATCCAAATTCAATTGGTTCTGGGCACAGTATCCAGGCTTTTGAAATTCAATAGACAATAGTTGGGCTGTAACTTTACTTACTTTCTGTATTTTTATGCTGTTTTGTTTGTTTTATTGCTGTTATTGTTGGGTTTTTGTGTTTTATATATAACAAGCTGTGTGATTTGTATCAATAACTGTGATTACATTTGAAACTGCATAAAGTGCTGTATAATTCAAGTTTTTTCAAATGTGTATTCTCCCATGACATTACTAGACAAAGTGGCCATAAAGATCCTAGATAAAACAAAGCTGGATCAGAAGACTCAGCGACTTCTGTCCAGAGAGATCTCTAGCATGGAGAAACTTCACCATCCCAACATCATACGCCTCTATGAGGTTTGACTCCCCTATTGATTTATAGACAAATTTAAACTGGTCCCAAAGGGGATTACACAACTACATCCGGCCAGACATCTGATATACTTAAGTAATGCACTCTGACTTTCCTGTCATCCTTTTTCTTTTTTAGGTGGTGGAGACGTTGTCACGGTTACACCTGGTGATGGAGTATGCAGGGGGAGGGGAGCTCTACGCAAAGATTACGACAGAGGGGAAACTCTCTGACACCGAAAGCAAGATTGTTTTCTCTCAGATCCTCTCTGCTGTCAAACACATGGTCAGTACATATAGGTTTATATTGAGCAGGTTTAAGTAAAATAATTAAAAAAAATTCAATCTGAATGCAACCTATTTTCAGTCTTTAAGTCAAATAACTGTGATGGTGACCATTAAGACACTAGATATTTTTAAGACGAGCTACTTATACTTCACTAAAAGTACATTTTTAGCACATGTTCACTGGTATCTCCAAATGTCCACATCAGACTTGAAGTGACAGTAGATGGCACATAATGCAGTTTCTCCCTGTTCTCTCTCAGCATGAAAACAACATCATCCATAGGGACCTGAAAGCAGAAAATGTTTTCTACACCAGCAGCTCCTGTGTCAAGGTGGGGGACTTTGGCTTTAGCACTCTGAGCCCCCGCAGTGAGACCCTCAACACATTCTGCGGCTCTCCTCCTTACGCTGCGCCGGAGCTCTTTCGGGATGAGCACTATGTCGGCATCTTTGTAGACATCTGGGCCTTGGGGGTGATGCTGTTCTTTATGGTGACATGCACCATGCCGTTCAGGGCAGACACTGTACCCAAACTGAAGCGGTGCATCCTGGAGGGGGCCTACATCCTGCCCTCCTGGGTGCCAGAGGCATGCCAGCGGCTGATCAGAGGAATCCTCCAACCCATACCATCTGACCGCTGTACAGTGGAGCAGATGATGGGCTGTGAGTGGCTGCTCCCAGTGGACTTCCCACGTGCCATGGAGCCCTTCAAACTAGACCCATCTTACCTAGCAGAAAGTGATCCATCTGAACTAGTAGAGGAAGAGAAGGACGTGAAAGCAGCACTGGAAACATTGGGAATCAGCTCGGAGCATATCCTCAACAACCAAGGAAAAGACTGCAGGAGCTCCATCACAGGGATCTATAGGATCCTGCTGCACCGTGCTCACAGGAAAAGGGCTGTTGTGAGCATGCCTGTGGTCCCACAGGTAGTCAGACCAAAAAAACAGAGTAAAAAGGAACGGCTAAAAGTGTATCGTAGTCTAGGGCACACATCTAAGCTCTGTGTGATTCTCTGACAAAATGTTCTGCTTTGCTCTGGAAATAATTTCACTTCATAGACTGAGATGAGGATGCATGGATTTGATTAGAAATGCAAAACAAAGGTGCTTTTCAGTTCAGCAGTTTAACTTGCACCCTTACTCAGCTCCTAAACAAAACTGCATTTCTTCCTAGAGTATCTTTCTTCTAGTAAGTAATATTAGTCTCTGTGAGAATGTTGCTGTTGATGAATCATGAGTTTATCCTTTTTGACAAGGACCTACTCATGAGAGATGGAAATGTTATGAAATACATTTACAAATTAATATTAGGATGATTAGAGAGCTTCTTTTGTAATGCTTTTCATTGAGGTCCTTGAAATAAGCATTACCTATTAGATAAAAAGTCCTTTATAAGATACATATTAACATTTGACAAAAAGGATATATGAATGTTTGTAGCAATATTAACACGTTTAATGTTAGGTTATAAGACATTGTTCTTACTCAAGTTTGGCAAAAAGTGTTTTTTGTTATTAAGCACATTGCTAAATGCTAATGAGGGCAACATAAAGTATGCCGAATAAATGTGTTTTATTAACACTTATAGTGGTATTTAACACATGATAATGTCAAAAAGCATTTTATAAGGCCCAACAGGGGCCTTATTACCTACGAATGCTTATTACAAGGATCTTCAAATTAAGCATTCCCACAATTTTGCATTGAGACATGGAGGCTAGATATGTATAGCCCACATCCATTCAATGCTTAATGCTGGAACACCAATAAACCCTATGAGACATGAATGTAGCATACATCTTAATAAAAAAGATAGAAATCCACAACATAATGCTGAGGTGATGAAGTGGTGAAACATGCATGAAATATAATGTCTACAATATTTTTGCACTTTTTTCTGCGATGCCTTACTTTTTCTATCATGTTATGAAATCACATGACCCTCAGCCAGACTGACTTCATTATACTCTTTAATGTTTGTGGTGATAGGAAGAGAGATTTCTTGAGAGAGACAAGAGATATCACTTAAACACCATCACCAAAACGATTGGTTGCTCATGTAGAAAAAAACATCTTTATATTTGCAATACACAATTTTGGTATGAGTTCCAGTTATTCATTTTTAAGTTATCAGATGTCTGATTTTCATGTCATGTTTCAAATAAAATGAATACATAAAAAAACATTGAAATGCATTTGTCTTTTTTATGATTGATGCGTTTTGATTTTTGTGTGTACCCTTTATAATTTAATAGAAAAGGTGCCTTTACTGTTTTTGTGCAAGAAATAATTTGTTCTCCGCATCTAGCTTTTTTGTAATGTTTACAGCAACATAAAGACTCTTAAGAGGTAGTGTTGGGAAAGCTGCATCATAATAATTATATAATATATGGATAATATTTAAGGAAAACCTTCCCCTTATTTGGCCTACTGCCATGTATGTGTATTCCATAGGCTGCAGTCTATGCCGTATTGAATGCAGAAAGCAAGACTAGCATGAGTACAGTACTTGTAGGCTGCTCTACTACACTTCCCAGAATCACCCAAGAAGCCCACGTACTCATATCCGCCTTTACGTGATGACGCAATTTTTGCCTCGTTGGAAGGTAGTTTCAGAGGAATCGCTGTATACTGTGGCAGTGAAGAAACGCTGAGTGTGAAACCAAAAGACTCCCGGACGCTATCACTCGAATGGTATTTGGTCTCCTGTCATTGAACGGTACGAACATTTATGTTTACATCAACTGTATTGAATGTTTTTCAGAGTGTTTAATGTCACGAAGGACCACGCCCTCTTTGTAAGATAATGACAGAATTATTGAGCTAACACTAGCTGGCTGGTGGATGTTGGCCTAAAGACATTTCCTCGTTTTCTGCATTTGGAGTAAATAATGCAGTCATTTTCTTTTTTAATGTTTATGAATTGTATTGTTCACTGTAACGTTAACCAGCTCATATCGTATATATTCAAATAGCTATGCTGCAGGACAATGCTCTTATTTTGCAATACAACAAAGACACCATGCATCCGGACTGCATTCCCCTTTCTTTCAAGATAACGTTAAATATCGGCAAGCACTGCATCATATACAATTATTTTCCTGGAATACACTTAATACCATTATATGTTTTTGTTTTGAAACTTGATATTATATTCTGAGATCTCGTGACAAAGGCATGTGTGGGCGGGGCTCAAAATATGATGAGATCATGATGGGAGCGTGGCAATGATGCAATATGAAATTGTTTACATGGCACTTTAGTATACGTGTTATTAACTCAGTGACGTGGACTCCTAATCTGTCACACCTTAGACACCACCTTAAAACCTGTCAAGGCTGCGGAGCTCCTTACAGTGGAAACAGGATCCACATGCAGATCAGCTGGGGGCAGACACTCAAAGTACAGTGGAAGCTTGGCGTACCATCACTCTACTTTTCTGTTGTCCTGTGAATTATCATTTTAATAATATCATACATTATAAAGCAGGGTAATTTTAATAAGAGGATATTCCACTATAAAAACATTTGATTTAACACTTTACATTACGCTCTGAATTGTTATGATTTTTCTGTATTAAATATTGGACTTCTATATGACATTCAGTCATATTTGAGTTATGTTATAGTAATACTCCTATGATAATTAAGAATTCAGTTTACGTTAATTTAACTCAGAAATAATCGTCAAATTAATAAATAAATAAACGAAAGATCTAAAACACAGAAAAGCATCAACAAGCAGTTATTTTTGCAACATAAGTCTCTTAAAGAAGATGTTTTGATAAATCGACATGGATCAATTTGCAAATATTTGTGTTCCATCACAGACAAGGTCCAGTCTGATAATGATGCTTTTTTATTTGTGTGTGTACCCTTTATAAGTTAACACAAAAGATGCCTTCACTGTTTTTGTCCAAGCAATTCTTTTTTCTCAGCATCTAGCATTTTTGTCGTGTTTACAGCAAAATACAGACTCTTATGGGATAGTGTTGGGAAAGCTCGTTTTTCTTGTACTTGTATTAAAATATTAATTGTATCTAAACATTGATGCCGTTTTTAATAAATATTACTATTTATTACTAATGCTGTGGTCCATATGCTGCTGTGTTGCTACAGATGTCATCGGTCACTGAGGAGCTTCCAGACATGGATGGAGCAGACCTGTTCGGGCTGCTGTTCCACAATGAAGGGAATGGATCTACTGAGCCCCTCTTTCCTGATGGGAATGAGATCATTGAATCCTGGCTGTCAGAGCAGAGTGTAAGACTTCATTCACATTAAACATATTATTGTTACAATTATTCCATGGTTAGATTGCCATCCAACACAATATTGAACCATATTGTTCCTCTTTGGATGACTACAAATCGTACTACTGTGTATTTTTAAACATGTGGTGTTAAAGCTAACTGTTTTCTTCCCCACAGATACTGACAGGAATGGACACTGAAGACTTTCTGTCCAGCTTGTTAGATGGAGAAGACAACATGGGTGCTATCGGTCCCTCTCACTCTCCCTTGGGCAGCGATAGCGGTATTTCCGATGACAGCAGCACTGTGGTTGGAAACAACAACCCTCTGGGATGCTCGAGTCCCCAGGGCAGCGACAGTGACGTGGTGCCCAGTCCCTGCTACTCCCAGGCTAGCCCCGAGCACTTTGACCCTGCCCTGGCCCCCGGAGAGCTGCAGGCAGAGAGCCCGGAGGTGCTGTCAGTCCAGGCCGATCACAGCTACTCTCTGCTGCAGAGCGATGGCAGGGACATGGACGCCCTGCAGAGTGTGAGGGCAGAGCAGCCTGATACAGATGTCTTCATTGATCTGGGTATGTTTAGATAGGATAAGATAAGAGGTACTTTATTGATCCAAAATTGGGAATTTCACGCAATTCTTTTGCGTTGCAGCAGCATAAAAAACACCAAAACAAGGCATTGCACATAAGTAGAAATTAAAGAGTAGAAATAAACAATACTAGAATTTAAACATCTCAAGATTCTATTAAAACAGCATTAAAAAGTTGAAAGATATAGAGTAGGCCGTGAAGATAAAAAAATCTACAAACGTTGACAATGAAACACTATATTTTAGACACAATATAAAGCAGGATATTATTTACATTAAAAGTGTAGGGAATGGAATATTAAATATAAATGTAAAATGTACAGTGTGTCCAAAGAGAAGTTATGGAGCAATGAGTTCTCTGCCAGCCAGAGGAGATTTGTTATACAGAGTTATTGCAATAGGCAGGAATGTTTTCCTGTTTAGCACAGAAACAGTCTGATTCTGGCTTTATCTATCATTTGTATAGGCTTAAGTATATTCCTATTTGTAACTTATACACCTAACCCGTTGATAAATCTCTACAAAACACATGTATTTAGTGCACAATGCACATTCAGTGTGAGGGAAGCTGCATACATAATAGACGCATGGCAGCACTTACTTGCAGAGCTGGTCAGCACGCCACATTATATTTATTTTGAATATATTTCTCTTGTGTCAGACGACTTGGTGAGTGAGGCAATGGAGGAAGACGACGAGGAGGAGGACATCACAGACGACCTGCCCTGCACTTTGTCCATAGAGGACTCCACTCAGGATTCCACTCAAGACAATGACATGGACCGGGTCAGTTTCCCCTACTTTTCCTTATTTTGAAGTTTGAAGTGATCTTTACAAAGAAGACAGACCGTTTCAGTTTGGCATACATGATTTATATCTTTGAAATGATTTGTGAGCTATTTTTGGCATATTGTTAGTCGCACCTGGCGCATCAGGTTGCAGAGTCACATGTGTCACCTGCAAGTGAAATATTCGTAACTCTTCAAGCTTCATTCAAGTCCTTACTGTGTTACTGTGATGAGAATTAGAACACAAGTCAAGTCAAATGACATTCTGATTACATTCTTTTTATCTAGTAGGTTGCCAGCTTTGCACACATTTTATCACCCAGTTGTGTTTCAAAAACCAAACTATTCTCAATATGTAGAAAAATCTATATTAATATATTGAATATTTACAAACAAAAGTTATGAATACCAATTCGAGCCATTTATCAATGTTAGTCAAGAAAGTATAAAGTCTTTACATTCGAAAATTGAGTCAAGTGTTGTGATTTGACTCCTCCACATCTATCATTTTATACAGGTCATTAAATGTTTCTATTTCCTCCCTTTAGTTCCAGTTTAAAGAGATTGTGCTTACTGAGGAAGAGAAGCGGCTTCTGGGAAAAGAGGGAGCAACTATTCCCTCGCACATGCCTCTCACAAAGGTAATTCACTCCTGTGAATGTTTTTCTACTTGAGCTAATTGGCAGCATTGCCCTAACATGTTGTAAATGTTTGTTTAATTAGGCACTTAATCAAAGAACAGACTGCTGATACATTTAATAGTGTTGTTAATCTGTTTGGCAATTATAGTACAATAAAACAGTTTTGATACTTTTATTGGACATGTAAATATTGGTCTTATATCTCCATGTAGTGGCTATTTAGTGTTTTTTTTCAGTTTGGTCCAGCTGCGACATAGCTGCTCAAGGCTGTTGAAATATATGTCGTAATCTGTCATGTCAGCATTGTGGTGAAAGCCTTCTTTGTGTGTAACAGGCAGAGGAGAGGACCTTGAAGAGGGTCAGGAGGAAGATCCGCAACAAGCAGTCTGCTCAGGAGAGCCGCAAGAAGAAGAAGGTGTATGTGGACGGACTGGAAAACAGGTGAGATGTTAGGCCTGAAGGGCTATCAATGGAAAGGAATGATACCTTTAATTGCTTCATCAGAAAAATACAGACATTTTGAAACCAGGTCATGTTCTGCACTTCTGCCTATAAAAATATAATTTTCATTCTAAATAGTTGCCTATTCATTTGATGTCAATCAACTAATTGATTAAACAACTCATTTTTGCATCCTGCAGTTAATAGACTTTGTTCTAATAACACAGGTAAACATAAATGGGGCATATAGGTGTAGACCTTACACTGCAGAATAACTGTTCCCTGTAAATAATAGTTGTGCTGGCAGGGATTTATTAAATGTCTTAAATTTTGGTTTGTCAAATACTCTGTGTGCTTGGATAAATATACTAACTACTGAATACATTTCTACTACAGGGTTGCCATGTGTACCGCACACAACTTGGAACTGCAGAAGAAAGTCCAAATGCTTCATAAACAGAACATGTAAGAAATCTGAAATATTGCTTCGGCATTTATATGCAATACCATGTGTCTATAAAGTTCTTTCAAATCTGCTGTTGGGTAAATGTGTCCTCTTTGTTCTTTCAGCTCCTTGATAGAGCAACTGAGGAAGCTGCAGTCGATGGTGAAGATGTCCACAATGAAAGCCAGCACAACCAGCACCTGTGTTATGGTAAATGCATTGATTACCTCCTTCTCTCCTGATTGCTTATCCTGTATAAAGTGTCAAGTTGTTTTACATGCTGCAGTTTTTACTTCTCTCACTCTCCTTGTGTTTGTCCTCCAGGTTTTCCTGCTTTCTTTCTGTCTCATCATCTTCCCGTCAGTCAATCCATTTGGAGGAAAATCAGAACAGAAGGAACTCTACACACCCTCCCTCAGTAAGTTACCTCAAAATAAAAGACAATGTCTTTAATCCTATTTCAACCTTTCCTTGTCATGTTTTTAGATACACTGAATGTGTTGGTTTATTCATTAAGATGTAATTCAGTGTGTGTCAGCAGACTGCAGAAGAATAGAATATTGATTTACATTGGAAATCAAGTGCATATCTGAGTCAGCATAGTTAAGAAAGGGTGAAAACAAGCAGTTTTGTGAACAATATGCAGAGTGTATTTGTTGAAACCACAGTCTGTAAGGTGTTTTTTTAATTATTTGTATTTTTTTTAATTATTTGTAAGTAAATGTCTTCCATGACCACTTGCCAGTATAGTGCTGTTTAATTTCTGTTTATCTATGGCGTGCCTGTGACTTCCTGAGTTTCTTTGTTGGCTCAGCTTTGCTAACCATTATTCCTTTGTTATTGCAGTCATGTCCCGGACCCTGCGCTCCCTGCCAGCAGAGAGCACAGACGCCATGTCCTTCCTCGAGCCTGAAGACGAGGAGCTCCTCTTAGTGCCCCAAGCAGAGGTGGACAACGTTAAAGCCATCTTTGCTGGAGGTCAAAAGAATCACACCCCCGACTACCAAAGGGTGGAGCAGCCTGACTCGGAAACAGGATTTAACAGCAACTCCTCGGCAGACTTCCCCGGCCCGGCTCAGGCTGCAGAGATGAAGCAGGGGCCCGCTGGAGGGGTGGGGGCCTTACAGGAAGGGTCTATCGATGCCAATGTTGCGTATGAAGTCACAGGTTCCAAGGATAACTGGATAGAGCGGAACCCCCCGTCTGTCATACTACAGCAGCACCGCTCAGATGAGATGTAGACACACAACCAGCAGAGGGAGCCATATTCCTAATGTACCAGAGGGAAGCTTACTAAATGAAAAAGGGAACAAACTAGTAATTATCAAGATAAAGGATCAGGTTGCCTGTCCCTACTTTTCCCCTCTAACAGCCTTCTCATGTACTACTGTACCTTTTAGCACTTTGTTGGGATTTTCTTGTTCTAGTGGGCAAAAAGAACTGGGGAGAGATCGCCATATTTCAGGAGTCTAAACTACCTAAAAAGTAGGACCTTGCAGCAGTAAACATGCTTACCTCGCTGGAGGCCACATGCAACTTTTAGAAGCACTGAGGGCTAAAAATGTGTTGGCACCTCCGTAGAAAACGTTATAAAGAACTTGCAGTATATTACTTCTAGAGAAGTATTACTTGAAGGCATTATTGTTTATCACCAACTCGAAGGGAGAGCTTGGTTTGACAACAGCAAATCTAAATATTGCTGCACATGAAGTACTCTCATAGTAAATTATTGTGAAAATAATTAGTGTTACAGTTTATACTGCAAACTGTCCAGAAACATCCATTGCCTATTAGAATTTAAGCTGCTTGATTCTCATAAAGCTTGATCAAAGTGGTTGATTGAACACCATCACGCTTAAGCCATTGCAGGACATTTGGCCATTTAATAGACTTGTAAAGTGTTTTTAGTATTTCCCTTGTAACAAGGGTATCCATGCTGATTTACATTTCGGAATGCTTAGTTTTATGTTGTACAGTTAAGAAAAAATGATGTTTGCAAAATATAAAACAAGACAATAAACCCCTAGACTTTGTCATTGTTAGCCAACCCCACTCTACCCCTTCAAACTTTTCTTGTTCAACTTGATGGGACAGTTCTTACCTTTCTAAACATGTCTGAATTACCTTAGCACTGTGTACACACAGTAGGGGGTTTGATATAGCTCGGTAAACCGTGTTGCAGTAAAATGTACTCAAAAATGTAATGACCTGTTTTGTCAGTGAGGCATTTTTGTCATTTCTTTGTGTAATTAAGTTTATGTGAGTAATACAGGAAATCTAAATGGTGTTGGAACTGCTTTTTGTTATAATCGACAGTCAATGAGATTTTAAATGTTGATCGTGATGAACAAATGCACTGACATTTGCCGTAGTCCAAGAATGAAATGTAAATATGCTTGAATAATTGTAGCTCTTCTGAACATTTGAACTCTTTATGTATAAGACATGTCTGGACATCTATAATATTAATAAACCTTTTATATATCAGAATTACACAGATTTTGTCTTCATAACTGTTATTGACCAACAAAAAGATGAATACCTGTCTACATTAATTGTTCAACTTCAGGAGATTATTGACCACACAATATCTACTTTGTAATTAAATGAGACATTATAAGACACATTTGGCTATACCGAGTAGATACACTTACTATTCCAGTATTTACCTGAGAGGCGTGTGAATGATGATCTGAGAACATGTTTAACATTATGGTCTCAGATCATCATGATCTCAGAAAGTCTTCTTCAATAGCCCTACAGTTTAATTTAAGCAAGCTTTTCCCAGACAAAGTAGTGCTCAGCTGTTTCTAATATACCCTGTTTTGGGGATTTTCACAGCCAGCCTGGGATCTCCCCCATCTTTTTGCTTTGAAAACACTTAAAGTCACAACATTCCAACTGGATTAATTTAATATGTTTTAATTAATACCATATAACTAAATGTACCTATATTAATAACAAAGGGATATTTTTTCTATGTGAGGCATGTTCAAGTCTTAGCCTATTCATTAAATTATATCACTGTCACTCAAACATTTGTATTTATTTTTTGTATTCCCCTTTTCACATGCACCATGTCTGGCAAACAGTTTTTGTCTGACTTTAGAAGCAACCTCAGCTGTCGGGGAATGACAACAAATAGGGGAATGGTTGGTGATGGTGACTCATAAGTGTGAGGTTGTAATTATGAGTCATGAGCTCATTGAACATGTTGAGACTAGTGGAGAAGTATTGAAATGTAAGGGAAAGGTCACTCTCTGAAAGCCCAGCAGGTGGCAATGTCAGTCCAGATGTGTGACACTGAGGCTCTGCTTCATGCAGGTCAGCAGCAACATAGATGGTGTTAGTGAGGTTAAAGGTCATCCTGTTATCATGTACCCTTCATTTGCATTCTTAGAAATGTCAGAGTGGTTAATAAGCTGACTCATTTACCAAGAAACGTGTAAAGTAAACAACTTCAACAGAGTAGAATATTCTGTAATAGGGGCTGACTGTCTAGTCCTGATACTGTGTGGTATTGATGTCTATTAACTAAATTGCTGAAGCCTACACTTAAATTAGGTTGACACTATAGGAGACGTAATTTTCACTTTAAGACAGCCACGCGGCGTGTCACCATGCATGGCATCTGTCTGAAAAGCGAGTGATGTTGAATGTAAACACAGTCTCTGATAAGATAAACTGGCCTGAAAACACTACTGGTTACGGCACGTGGCGCCGGGAGGGGCCCACGCGCATCTGTCGGGCATCTGCCGCAGGACACTGAAAGGAGTGGGGTAATAAAGAGTGTGGGGCACACGCAATACGCACGCACACAAACACATGACATCCCCCCCAGCCTCATAAAGGATCGGGGGCAGGTGGAGGACGTGATCATTGTTGTAACACAAAGTCTCCTTTTCTCTCCGTGGAGAAACGACACGCGTCGAGTCAGACTGGCAATTAAAGCTTCCTTTTCAAGGGGCGAACAAAGTGGCGTGTGCCGGCCACAAGCTGTTTGGTCACTCCTCCAAAAACACTCCATCGAGACATCTTGACCTATCTGGGTCAGGACAGTTCTGTAATTCCCGGGTTGATAAAGTGCACCACACAGTGCAGGTGCAGCAGCATCAACACGCGTTTATTAAGGGAAAGTCAAGACTTCAGGGAAAGTTTGGACGAGCTATTTATAACCCAGCAGTGATTCCTCGAGTTGGGAAAGTCCTTAAAAGATTATTCCAGTTTATCATGGGATGGATGCATTTCACATCCGATGCCCCTTTCACCTACTTTCGTTTCACTATTCAATTACACGGCCACCTGTATTCTGATATTGTTCTGCTTTGCCCACTGTTTTTATAACTGCAATTGGTAGCTACAACGTTTATATAACCCAAAAACACAAGGCAGCTTCCTGGTATTCAGTGATGAAGTGTTAAACAACATGTGGAATAAACTTATGAAACTATGACTTTCATAATCATAATAAAAAACAATCCCCTTATACAAATGAAAAATAATTAGATGCTAGGAGAAAACAGTTTATTCTTCAAATTAAATATGAATGCAGTATACATGTTGATCATAATCATGCCACAATACTTGAATAATGTGTTATGTGATTTGTTGACCAATTTAAGCCACAGGGAGTTCAAGCTTTATTGTGTCACTATCTGTCTCTTAAAGTCCATCGTAAACAGGACTTTAAGTTTTTGTTCACTGTGGTGATGTTGGATGTTGACAAGGCAAGCAGGAATCGGTGGTGGGTGGGGGGCATTTCTAGAAAGATTGTAATCTTGCCCCACGTGGGGTTATCAACAAGCTCGGTTTAACTACCCGGGGACTTTTGCTTTCCTACCCGGCTGCTCTGAGCCAATGGTAGGAGGCATGAGCGGAAGAGACCGCCCCTTGCCGAGAAACTACGTTGCTCTGCTATAAAGCTACCCACCGCCTGTGTCGAACTCAGAATAACACGAGACAACACAGAGAACTACACGAGCTATCTTTTCACTTACGCACTTGGATTATAACTATGACACTGGAAGAGATCCGCGGACAAGATAACACAATGGAAAGCGCAAATAGGTAAATATTTTACACATGGATACGACATTATTTCAGTTGCTGGGTTAGTGGTTTTAATTGCTGTTTTCTAAAATGTGACCGGTGTTCTGATGGTGTATGTTTTTCTTTGTCAAGGGTGCAAAGTGCAGGCGCATCATTGGAAGAGCTGCTGGTCGCTGCAAAGAAGCAGGACTACCTGACTGTTGGAGTTTACGAGTCTGCTAAAATCATGAATGTGTAAGTATTGCAATCCGTGAAATGTTTAACTGCGATTGTATTTTCTACATTTTTTTTTTTTTAAAGCTTATGCATGAAAGAATGTTTTCTAACCAGCTTCCTTGTCTTCTCCACAGTGACCCAGACTGCGTGGCATTCTGCGTCCTTGCCACCGATGAGGAGTACGAGTGTGACATTGCTCTGCAGATCCACTTCACCCTCATCCAGGCTTTCTGCTTTGACAACGACATCAACGTTGTACGCGTGAATGACATCGAGCGCCTGGCTGACCTCGTGAGCACAGATGAAACCGGCGAGCCCAAGGACGCGCACTGCATTCTTGTCACGGTACGTTCCCGGGTGCACCCACTCAGCCTGCAGACAGTGAATCATGCATGCTTCACTCCTCTGTCTGGAGATTCTTTACACGCTGCCAAGTCACTGCACGCATGCTTATGTCTGTCTCATGTCTGACTCTAAATATCTATTGTTTTATATTTCAGAGCCCCAGTGCAAACCCATGGAAGGACCCTGCTCTGGACAAGCTGGGTCTGTTCTGTGAGGAAAGTCGCAGTGTCTACGACTGGGTGCCCACCATCACTCTCCCAGAGCGCTGAAGTGACTTTCCACTAACAATGCTTCACATGATGATGAAGATTATGAAAAGAAAGTCAAGGAGGTGAGCCTCAGTTGGGGGTGTCAAGCCTTTCTGCCTCACATGTCTGGATTAAGAGGCTGTGGCTGTAACCTCTCTGCAAGAGCACAACCTTCCAGTGCATCCTGGGTTGGCATGTTGGCTCTGGATGACCCTGAGGAAGGGCTCAAGTTCAGGGGTCAAGTGTGGACTGGCTAAGGTGAATGTGGAGTGGACAGAAAGTTTGATGGACACTGAGGAGGATATGGAATGTACCTCGTGCATGACTATATGACCCAGTTGCTGCCCTAGATAAAAGGGAGTGGGGAACTGAGCGGTGGAGGTCACAAAGACTTTGCAAGAAGTGGACTTGTGAAATTGCAGATGCTGGACTGAAACTGGACTGAAGGGGAACAGGAAAGATTCTGGTTCTGGTTCTGAAGAAGGCGTCTGAAAATGTTTAAGTGGACTATACTTTTCTTTTTCCAGCACAGCTATAAGGAAGTTCTTGGAATAAGCAGACTTGCCTGCAAATCCTGATTTAAGCTGTGTCTGAACCTGTGACACATTTTCATGGACTATTATTCTTACTTAAAGATATGCAGACAAATATGCAATATTGTTCAAATTGTACTCTCTTTTTCATGTTTTGTGAATAAACATTTGTAATGAAACTCTCTTGTCAGAAAAGTTTTTTCTCATTTGCATTAGGTTTTTGGCACGTGCCAAACCTTTGGTTAGCTAAGATGCAGCAGAGTGTAAGAAGTTACGAAAGACTGCACATTTATAGAAGAATCAGGAAGTGTTGCATGACATCAGTAACCTAGTAAAAGAGAAGAAGGAAATAGTGAAAATGTGGTTGGCTGACGGTAACTCAGAGAGATTAAATGGAGAGATACAGGTGAATAGATACATTACAACATAATGATGCTTGTGACATGCGCCCTTTCCTGGCAGTGACCTTAATACAACAGCTTGCACAATCGCTGCAGCCAGAGTGTAACAGAGGCTGGGGGGCCTTCAGGAGAAAGCTTTCTTTTGCTTTCTGTGCAACTGAGGTTAGAGAGGTTTGTGTGTCAGTTTAGTTATGGTTTTGTGCATCCAAGTGGAAATGTGGGACTATATGATGAAAACAATCTCATTGTTTAGTGTTGCTAAAAATTTAAATATCAGAGATTCACAGTAAAAAATCTACAATATTGCACACACTGGGATTTCATGACATTCAGGTGGAAAAATCCCTGCTATAAAATTCATTCAAACCATTGGGCAACATGCATAGGGAAAGTTGTGCTTTCTGTTTTCCTATTGACACTTGCACACTTCGCCATGTGCAATCGCAGATTAGAAAATGGACTGAAATTGAAACTGTAGCAGAATGAGGGTCAGCGAGATCATCAGTGGCAGGTAAGGGGAAGTGTGTGAGCGCTGCGGTCGCCTCTGAGCTCAGGCTGACGGTAAAAGGCGGCCCACATCAAAGAGATAGACTTCTGAGGAACTCAACTCACTTTTTCTTGGTAGCCCCTCGGCCTGCAGCCAATTGCTGGTCATACTTTGCGTGTGTGCACGTATGAACACACAGGTACACTCATGCTCACA